TCTCTCTCTCTCTCTCTCTCTCTCTCTCTCTCTCTCTCTCTCTCTCTCTCTCTTTCTCTCCAGGTTTCAGACTCACTGGCTTTGGCTTAAGATTAAAACTGCCCTCTTCCTCACTAGATTCATCAACTGCAGTGTTTTTCAAACCTCCAAATAATCTTCCCTTTACTCAGTTTCGGACCATTTTACTCTCTTGCTCTCTCTGAATGCCTTTTTATGGGTTCTGTAAGTAGTAAGTCTTCCATTTACACATTGGGAGGTTTTTCTGTGATTACTAGAGTATGAATTCCTTGAGAGTAGGGACTGTGTCTTAATTATCTCTATTACTCCAGTCCCTCCCTGCTGTACAGTCTACACTAAAAAAAGATTTGTTGAATAAATGAATTTATTTAGCCTTTGTATTTTTTGCTCAGTTTATCCTAGGTATTCTATTCTGAACTTCCAGTTTTCCTGAAAATTCTCTTGCCTCTTTATCGCTGGAAATTTTAACTTCACCCAGTGATGCTGTGATCCCATCCTGGATCATCACAATTTCTTGGCAGGTAAAAGGTTCAGTTTACTACGTACTCTGTTGATACATTAGAAAAAAAATTCCCATGTAACTCACCTGGATTTAATTTTGCTTATATTCTCTTGGTTCCAGCTAGACTGATTATTCTCTTTAAAATCTATCAGTAGCTTTGAGAGGGGTTCTATTTTGCAGAACTCTTTGTCTCACCCTTTTTGAAGATAGGTCCATACCACCCTCAATTTCTTTACATGCAGAATAAAAATCAGTTCTCCCTCACCTGGAGGAAGTGGGAATGAATTATATCAATCTCTTAAAATTTTTCTTTTTTTTTTTGTAACACATAAGCATAATAACATAGTGAAATACCAACCTGAGAACTAGAACATTTTCCAGTAACTTGCTCCTACTTCTGTATTTCTCCTCTATCTCTTCTCCCTGCCTTCAGAGATAACCACTACCATGCATTTTGTGCTTATCATTTCATTGCTGTTTTTTAAATTTAGGTTTATGACAAATGTATATATGCTAAAACAATATGTTGTTTAATTTGTATGCTTTTGAGCTTTATAAAAACGCTATTATCCAACATATAGTGTTCGGGGATTTTCTCTTTTAACTCAACATTATGTTTTTAGATTCATTCATATTGATGTATATAAAGTTTGTTCACTT